TAAATAAATGAAAAAGTATTTCATGACCATGGACCAGATGACTTAATATTTTAAGATGGCAGTACTACACAAACTGAACTATAGATTTAATGTAATTCCTATCAAAACCTCAGCTCCTCTTTTTTGGCAAATTTGACAAGCTGTTTCTAAAATTCCTGTATAAATGCAAGGAGTATGGAATAGTCCAAACAGTCATATAGAAGAAAAACAAGGTTGGAGGACTTATACTTCTGAATTTCAAGTTTACTGTATAGTCACTGTAGTACTGTCATAAAGATAGACATATAGAACATTGGATTAGAATGGAGAGTCTAGAAATAAGCCTTTATATTTATAGTCAACTGAATTTCAACAAGAATGCAAAAAAATTCAATGGGGAAAGAATTTTTTTCAAAAAATAGTACTACCATTGGACATCTACATGAAAAATAATTAAGCTGAACCCCTACCTATTAACTAAAAATGGATTATAGAACTAAATGTAAGGGTGAAAATTATAAAAACTCTTAGAATAAAGCACAGGATTAAATCTTCACAACCATGAATTATGCAATTAGTTTTCAGATATTACACCAAAATGCAAATGGCAAAATAAAAAATAGATAAATTAGAACTCTATGCATATTTAAGACGTTTGTGCATTCAAAAAAACACAACCAAGAAAATGAAAAGACAATACACATATAATTAAAGACAATATTTACAAATCATATATTGAATAAAGGACTTGTATTCAGAATATAAAGAACTCTTACAAACAACACAATTTAAAAATGGGCGAATATTTCATTGGACATTTCTCACAACAAGATACACAAATCACCAAGAAGCACAAAAAGATGTTCGACATCCTTACTCATCAGGAAAATGAAATAGAAGTTATAGTGAGATATCTCATCACACCCACAAACATGGCTAGAATGAAATAGTCAGAAAACAGGTGTTGATGAGGTTCTGAAGACATTGCTCATACATTGCTGGTGAGAATATATAATAGTACAACTGCTTTGCTGCTTTGAAAAACAATTTATCAGTTTGTCAAAACATTAAACATGAAACCATGACTATATTTACACCTTTTTACTTAGCTGTCCAGTAAACAACTTAAATATAACGTTTGTCTGATACTCCACTACAGATTTCCTCCTCATCGGATCTCTCCCTACTGCTATCTTCCTCCTCTCAGTAACTCAACATTTCAGTCCTCCAGTTGGGCAAGCAAACACTTTTAAAACTCTTTCCTGATTATACTCCTTCTCTAACCCCTCACAGCTGACATCACAATGCATTTTGGAAATGCCAACTTCAACAATCAAAACGTTTCTTTGTTTTAATTTTTGTGGATACATACTAGGTGTATATATTTACAGAGTCCGTGAGATGTTTTGATACAGGCAGCAATGTGAAATAAGCACATCATGGAGAATGGAGTAGGCATCCTCTCAAGCATTTACCCTTTGAATTATAAATAATCCAACTACATTCTTTATTTTTAAATATACACAAGTTATTATTGACTATTGTGCTATTGAGTAGATCTTGTTCATTTTTTGCCATCGCACCCTATCACTACCATATACAAACCACCATAATCTCTAACTAATTACCACAATCACCTCCTATTCTCTCCTTTCTTACATCCTCCACATCCCTATAATGTGTTTTCTAAATAGCAGTAAAAGGGATCATGTCAGAGTCATCTCTGTCCTCCTGAAATTCTGCAAGTGAACCATTGTGTCTCATGCACAAGTTTAACAAGGAGAATAAAGTATTTAAATAAGTGAATCATATATTTAAGATTTATTTTTCCAGTAAAAGTACAAAAGCAATTCTACTATTCTAGGAATGGTAGAATTCCTAAAAAGGAATATTTGTATTTCACTGTATTTATATTGACAGAGCATTGCTTTTTGGCAGTCTGCAATAGCTCTTTTTTAAATTAAAGAGATAAGAAGACATCTGTAAAGAGTGCTGCAAATCTGTCATGCTGCGATCCCTTTTTCTGGGAGATTAAATATTTCTTGGTATAATAAAGGATACAAAAGCCATTAATTCTTTGAGTAACCATATAAATTACTAGTGGTGCTTAGATGAAAAGACTGGTATGATTAAAGATAACGGACCCTGAATTTTTAAAAGGGTTTATATAGCTGTAAATCTAGGCTTCATATCCTTTCAGAAGGATTATGTGCTTATCATTAATCTTAGAAGTAAGGTAATTTTGTTAGTAATAACTTTACTCCCTCTGTTCTCTTTATATATGTGCCAGAGGAGAAGTTATTCAATAATGGCAGTGAAGTTTTTTGTAGAAAGTTATACTGATTATATCTTAAATAAATCATTGATTAATTAAAACTCAACGACTCATGAAGGGGAAAATAGGTTAAGGAGTTATAGAAATAATACATAGCATAAGCACTGTGCATGACAATGCTAATATTAAATATTATCTAAGATTTACTTATCATACTACAAAGAAAAATATGAAGTTCAAAAGCACAAAAGAAGTATCAACATTACATTGTCAATACATAATCATTCTTCGTATTTATAGCAATGCTTAGTATAGCATTTTGTTTAATGGCATGCAGTAAAAATGTATTGCTTGACTCACCATAATACTTTCTTTGCTTTTCTTTCATGATGCCATAATATCCATTATGTATACTCATGTCATTTTGATAAAAGGAGTAAAATGCTAATTTTCCATGTCAAGATAATCTTACAATAAAAAATAAATTTATAATTAATTACAAGTACAATCAATCTCTCCCTGATGACTACTTTACTCCTAATCTTGGTACTTTTTTATCATCATTGCCAGCAGTATTTAATTTAAGATATGTCATATATCTACTGGTCTTTTAGAAGTTTAGAATGTTTTTTGTAGACAAATAAAGAAACAAAAATCATCTTTAAGTGTCTTTTAAAAGTTGAGCAAATGAAGACTTAAGCATTTTTGGAGAAGTAAGCAGTGATATAAATTACCCCTTTTCATCTAATTTTAGTTGACATTATTTTAGATAGCACTAACAAAGAAAAACAAATTCCCCAATTAAGCAATGTCGCCAGTTCTTGCTAAGAGTTGTATGTCTATGTAGGGTTGGGTCATATACCTCATTGCAAATGTGTTTCTTTTTTCCAAAATATTTCATAATTTTTTTCACCTTCCTGTTTATTGCTTGCCAGGTGAAATAAAACTTCTCTATATATCTCAATCACAAAACAACGCAGCTTCTTTTCTTATGGGTGTTTATCTTTTCCATTGCATGAAAGTAGCATTACTTTCATGACTTGGACAATAAATGTATCCTCACTAATACCAAAATTACATCCTGTCTCTCTCTTCCTGTGCTTTTCTTTTTACACAACTCTTTTTGTTTCAATGCAAAATCTTTTGTAACATTTTACAGGAAATTTAAATGTCAATTTAATTTATACACCATGGGATATTATGCAGCCATCAAAAACGATGAGTTTGGGTCCTTTGTAGGGACATGGATGAACCTGGAAACCATCATTCTCAGCAAACTGACAGAAGAGCAGAAGATCAAACACCACATGTTCTCACTTATAGGCGGGTGTTGAACAATGAGAACACATGGACACAGGGAGGGGAACACTACACACTGGGGTGAGTTGGGGGGAAATAGGGGAGGGACGGTGGGGGGTAGGGAGCTGGGGAGAGATAGCAAGGGGAGAAATGCCAGATGTAGGTGATGGGAAGGAAGGCAGCAAATCACACTGCCATGTGTGTACCTATGCAACAATTTTGCATGTTCTTCACATGTACCCCAAAACCTAAAATGCAATAAAATAAAAAAATGGAAAAAATATATAAAAAATAAAAAAATCAGTCTTTTTAAAACTTAATTTAAACATAACACAGTGAGAAGACATCTACTATTAGATAGATCCTGAGCTGAGGATAATTAAATATGAAAAACATACATCTAAGGATCAAAGAAATGCAGCACCTTTGAGCCAATCATAAAAGATAATAAAATGGTCAAAAAAGATTATGCATGGAAGATGTCAGAGGAATTATTAAAGATTTAAAATTACTTAAGCTTGTCTTACCTACAGCATGAGTAACTGAAGTATGACTTCATAAATTATTTTAGATATATGAAGAACAGTGACATATAATTTATGAGAAATTAATCTCCATCTACATGGTGAGATAGAGTAGAATTAGTCTTAATCCAAATAGAAGGAACAAATAAATATGCAAGTTGGAGGTTATGGATTGCTCTTCATAAGGATCTTAATCCAAAGTTTCCCACATCCTAACACTCTGGCTAACTCCTTTAAGCCTCAGGTTTCCTCATCTTCAAAAAAGAAGGTAATGACTTACAATCTTACAAATGTATATATAGAATTGATGAAAGAATATTATAAAGAATTTGGCATAGTTTAATCACTCAAAAATGTTTCTTCATATTAAAATTCTTATTAAGTCATTTAACAGGAAATAAGCCACCACTTCTAAATAAATTGAAATAGGTCATTTTCAAGCAAGTAGCCTTTATATACAAAATTTAATTCCTCCCACCCAGTTTCAACAGTTTCACATGAATTATTTTATGCATACATGACACATTCAAAATCCTGAAATAATAATAGAAATATTTTGGGAAAATAATAAAAATAAAATGGTAATTAATTAATTAATGAGGAAAATTAATTAAATACATTATTTTAATAACTTAATGGTATTTTTGTCATCTCCAAGTATCTAATGCTTTTGACTATGAGAAAATGTAATTATTTCTCTTGGAATAGTTCTATTAGCATTTCATTAGCAATCAATTAGTATTCAATATTTCATAGATGTATTGACTAGTTTTGCTTATTACAGTGTTTTACTGTTGTTTATATTTCAAAATATAACTGGATTCTCATTTCTTTTAACTAGCAGGAAAAAATGTTTAATGAAAAGTTTTTATTAGTAGTAAAAAATGTATATTAATTGAAACTGTTTTTCTGTTTCTTCTTAGCATTTAAATAACGACGAATATGATCAAGACAATGTTCATATTAAATACCTAAATATGGAATAAACTTCCTAGTTTTCTGGTGATCAATATACCTCTGTTTTGTGTACATCATTATGGATACAGGTAACTTATGATTTACCCTAAATGTAACAAATGAGCTCTAAATTGTTTTGTTATAAAATATTTCATAAGCTGAGACAAAAATATGCATAATAGGTAGTAGAGTACATTGGTTTAGTAGTTGAATAAAATGGATGCTGGAATCAGACAAAGTAGAATTAAAGCTAGAATAAGATAAAATAGGTTAAAATTTCAGGTTCAGTAACTAAAAAGAATGTAGCTCAACACAAATTGTTTCTCTGATGTTTTCTCAAATAGCACTAGTAAAGTGCTGTTGGGGAAAAGGCTAGTACAGCAGGTCCTCACATAACATCATTTAGTTGAACATCATTTTGTTACAATGTTGATGAGAAAAAATGTATGTAGAATCTCAGTTGGAGCCACTGTCTATGGAATTTGAATTTGCACATTCTCCCCCTTGTCTACATGTGTTTCTCCAGGTACTCCAATTTCCTCTCACATCCCAGAGATGGGCACTTTCTGGCCACCTGCAGCCCTGACCTAGAATCATTGGGTAAATAAATATCTTACTTGTTTTTATTAATCTTCTTAAATGTCTGTATGACTCACATTGATTTCAGTGTTTAATACTAGAAGTGTTTTGGTCTTTATTTAGAAGTTTGGTGATGGTTTTCTAAGCAGAAATATACCTTTTCCCATCCACCACAATCTTCTGTCTTTCTATTCTATTCCTATTTATATCTAGCCCCTCAAAGGCACCTTAACAATATGAATAACCTTTCACAAAGCACTTCTTTCTAGGGGCAGCCTGCATTTTCATCTTCAACCTTTGGAAATTCTAAGTCCTTAGCACTTATTCATGTAAGTAAATGTTTAAGGATCTCTTTTCAAGAAAAGGAAGCACGTTATCAGAGTTCAAAGCTCTAATATAGAACGGCTGTGTTTGAACAGAGATCAAAAGCTCTCATGAAAATGACATCACTCTTTTCTGGGGAAAATCTTGGCATCACTAAGCAAGTGATAAGCAGAACACATGGATAAAAAAAAATCTGGCCTTTGAAATTACCAAGCTACATAAACAATTGACAAAAATACAATTAAATCATGCCTTTGGATATGTACACATTTGGCTGGCCTGTGGTCTGTCCTTTTAAGCTCTAATGTACCAGTAAAGCATTGTCTGTGAGACACTTTGAGGTGAATTTAATTCTCCTGACTTTTCCTCCTGCCTTTGTTTCCTGTGGCTTTTCTCTGATTGGCAAACAAAGTGTCTCTGTTCTTGTTTGTGAATGTCTGTATTGATTTTTGTCATCATACTTATCTTCCTTGTACTAAACCTTAATCCCTGGGACATGCCTTGGGCAAATTTATCCTTTGTGGTTATAAATGACCTGTTAGTCTATGCCCTTCTTAGCAGAATTCCTACGGAAGCTGGATACACCTCCTAATGTTGCCATGAGGCTTGAGGAATCATTTTGTAAGCTTCAGAGTTGGCACTAAATTTGTTAGTATTTAACATTAAAAAACTTGTACATTTTTAAAGGCCTAGATTTTAATAGATTCCCGCTATGGATTCAACCTGTATTTCATAATGCATTGGCATTACTTAATAAACAATAAAAATCAAACAAATAGCACCCATCTATCACATATTAGATTGAATACATTTCAATAGATACAGAGCTCTTCTGGAAGAAGTACTTTGAATATTCTCTTGTTTTTACACTTTCGAACTTTACTTACAGAGAAATTGTTTGAAATACACACATATTTGTGAATTTCAATAAGCATCATAAGTACAAATCTATACAGCATAATTTGCCCCTTAGCCCTAGGATCTGAAGCCTTTCAGATTTCTTCAACAAATCTAGTAAGTTAAGTCTGTGTTATCTACAGTATTTGGAGATGTATTTTCTGTGGCATGAATCTACGATTTCTGTAAAATTTAGGATGCTGCATGAAAAATACGGGCCTTTTTTTTTTTTTTTTTTAGGAAAAATAACACTGAAAAAAAAAAGCAATCTATGTATAGCTGATGAAAAGAGCGCCCTCATGTGGTAATGCACAAGTGGAGCTGGATTGCATTGACAGACGTGCCTACTCCACTTTATTGCTGACAGTTTTACCAAGTTATGGGGTCCCTCTTGTGCCCATTTCAGCCATTAAAATGGTTTAGCCTTAAACATCCAACACACCACAACATTCCAAGTAGATACATACAATCAGCTATGACAGGCACTTAAGATAAAATTTTAGTTCTTTTAATTAGCTACCGAAAATTTAGGGAAAATATCCAGAAGTAATTAGATTCAACTGTAGCTATTAAGATTCATTTTTTCAATCTCAGATTTCATATTTGGGTGTTTTTTTCTTTAAGTTTTAATGTTTCCATGTGAAAGGCTTCTCTGTCCAAAAACAGGCAGATAAAATAAAAAACTTAATTCTGCCACAGTAGCACATCGCTGACCATATATTCTCCCTTTCTTGTTTTCTCTCTCTCTCTCTCTCCCTCTCTCTCTCATACACACACACATGTGCGCGCGCACACACACACACACACACAAGCGCACATACAAACACGCACATGTGCAGTGCACACACACACACACAGAGCATCCTTGCATTTAGGGACTCTCTTGTCCTATTACCTGTTGATAAATTCTTATCAAAACCATATAATATTTATTCTATCATCACCCCATCAAGCACATATATACTAATGAAGTCACACAATTTGTAAATTTGACTGGCTCTGTACATTATTCACAGAACAGATGATTTTGCATCCTAAATAAAGTAAAATTATTGACAAAATATATATAGCCTATATTCATTAGTAGGAACCCTCAAGTAGCTGTTACTATTTCAAGAGTAAAGTTGTAATTAAAAATTGCAAAGATTTGACAGTTCTTAGACTACCATTAAATCAGCATTGCTCAAATACGCACTGAGACATCAACAACCTTATGTTCAGGTTATTGAGATTATAATCTAATCAGAGTTAGACAACCTGAAGTTCAAAGAATGACTGGGATTAGTCACTGATTGACTATTCCAGAAATTAAGCCCCTTGCATTACAAAGCACTGAGAGTGAGAGGTCGAGATGAATGAAGTGGGCATATTAGCAATATTAAAAATAATGATAGATATAGCTACTATTTAATGAGTACCCACTACATGCCAGACAGTATACAAAGTACTTCTTAGAATGCGTTTTAATTCTCACAATGGTCTCGCAGGCACATATTAGTCTAACTTTACAAATCAGAAAATTAGAACACGGAAAGGCTAGGTAGCTCTCTCAAAGTACTACGGCTAATATATCACAGAGACAGGATGATCTGATGTCAATATAATATACTGCTTCCTACTGGAAAGTACGATGGAAAAATCCTAAGAAATAGCTTTGGCAGGATTAAGGGAGAAAAATAATTTGGATGGAGCAGAAAGAAGGGTTGTGGCAAGGGAAAAGCTGAAAGTAAAAATCAGTAAACTTACTGAGATCTTTTATTTATTTTATTTATTCTATATAGTCAGAATATATTTATTCTAGTTGTTCACAAAGTCTAGTCTCCAATCTGTATAATTGAATGTAAGAATTGGAAAAGTCAATCAATGAATCCCTCTTCTATGAAATCAGTCATTTCCTCAAGGATGTCAACTGACTTCTAGATCTCACAGGTAGTAAATGGCAAAGCCAGGATGGGAACATGGCTGGGCCCTGTGCTCCTGCCACAGCACCAACTCAGGCTCATTGCACTGGTGTCCTGCCTTTTCACATTTGCCTTATTCCAGGCTGTCCACAGCACTGCTACCAGAGTGATCTTGCAAAAATACCAATCTGACAGTGTAAAATTAAAGACATGCTAAACCATGCTTCAGTGACAACCCCAAAATATCAGTGACTTGAAATTATGAGATTTATTTCTCCCTTACACTATGTCTTCCCTGGCTCACTTCAAAGTTCTGCTCTACATTGTTCTTACGCAGGGATCCCAATTGTAGAAACTCAAGTTGATGGAAAAGCTACTCCCTGGAACATTGCTAGTGGCCGCAACAAGCAGAGAGAGTGGTGAATAATCTTAAAATTTCCAGCCAGAAGAGGCACGTGCTATTTCTTCTTCATACTTAATTTGTCAAAGTAAGTCACTAAATTCAAGGGCTGGAAACTAGAACATTACATGTATCCAGAAGGAGGAATAGAAATATTTGGTAGGCATTACTAATGAGTAACACCATAGATTCCCTTGCTTAATTGATAGATGTCAGCTGCTGAGAGGATAAAATCCAGACGCATTTATTTGTCTTAGAAAACTCACTGTGATGTGACCTCTAATTACATGCCATACCTCATTTCCCACAGGTATCCTATGTACGAATTATCTTAATCAGTAATTATCCCACAAAATATCAAACGATGTCATGCCTCATGCATTTGCCCCTATGTCTGCCTGGTGAAATCCTAGTTTTCCTTCAGGGTTCAGCTCAGGGGTTTTATGCTCTGTACTTTTATCAGGTCACTCCATCCCTCATCCAGACACATCATGGCCTTACCTCTTCCCTATCTTCGTCAAAGAGTGCCACACTCATTTGTTCATACGTAATCCTTATTTATTATACTGTATGTGCCCTGAATACAATATATCTGGATTATTGCTAGTACTCAATAAATAGTGTCTGGTTAAAGAAATGAAGTCATCACAATTCTAATGGGAGATACCAAGGTTTAGCAAAATTACTGTCTACAGTAAACCAGGGGAGGCTTGAAAAAACTGTGAGACAACAGATGGATAGGCACATATGAACTTTGGGATTGTGTCTTACCCTTTACTGATAAAGTTAACTTTTTCCTAAGTAACTTTTTTAATATAGGCTGGTAAATTTTATTTAGAGTACAAAGTCACTTATATGTGGATCCGTTTTGGAGACTTTTTCAGACTTCTTCTATCTCTAAGAGATTTCTCCCTAAAAGATCAAGATG